GTTTGGCCCTCCCGAAGCTTCTGCTGCTCCCCTAATAGAGGACAGGTCTTCAGTGAAGGGTATAGGAGTAGCTGCTCTCCCCTGCTAGAACCTCTAAACAAACCTCTCAAGGACAAAGGGATCACAATGTGAGTGGCTTAAGTCGGAGTCACCAGCTCTGAGAAACACAGTGGTCTGATTCTGTGTCTAAACAAACTATGGAGACTGAGACACATCCCACCTCAGGCCCAGGGTTCTCATCCAGGGCTCTAGCCTCTGACTGGCAAATGGGGCTCTCAGCCATCATGGAAGAAGTTTCTTTCTGCAGCACCTGGAGGCCATTACAGCAAGCCTCCTCTGGTCAAAACACAGAAAACAACCGATAATGGGGGCCCAATCCCAATGGATACATCTGCAGCACGCTTCTGTAACTAAGGCTCTGGGAACATCACAGAAGAGGGAACAGGAAGACTGTGAAAGCCAGAGACAAGGACATCTACAGTGAGAGTGTATCTTCCCAACATGACTGGGAGCTACACCCATGATGCCTCAATAATATGGCCGCCTAAATGTGTCCTGAACAAAGACAACACCAGTTGACATCCCAGCTTGCATGAGGGAAATCTCACAGGGCCCCTTTCCTCGATGAAGAGCTACAAGCATTTAATGACTGCTGAGAGAATCTATTTGGGAGGAATATCACAGGAAATATTGAAGGGTCTCCCTCCAGGCCACCCATGTGCACACGATCCTCTCCAAAGACACCCATGGGTGTGGAAGCAGCCAAAGACAGGACTCACCTTTTACTGTGTCAACTGTCTGTCCCAGGCACAGCACTGAAAGAAAAGACCCAGTGAGAAAGACACTGAACACATGGTTTGTTTAGACATGAGAATCTAGGAAGGACTAGATGTAGGCGGAGACGTCCAATCTCCCATGATCACCCAACCATCCCTCCTCCCCATTAAAGTCAGAGTATAGTCCTCCTTCTATCTCTGAAAGAACTCTTAAACTACCCCCCAGGCCAGAGACAGAGACACAGACTCAAAATCCCAGGTATGCAACTGGGTCACACGTTCAAGTATGACTTGGGCTACAATGTGAGTTTGAAGACAGCCCAAGTATCTTAGTTAGACCATGTCCCAAAACCAAAAGTAAAATGGAGTTAATTCAGAGCCTAGCCCAATCGTCATCAGAGAGGCTTCCTCTGGCAGACGACAGGGGCAAATACAGAGTCCCACAGCTGAACATTAGGTGGAGCTGGGAGAACCACGAGGGAGAGGAAGAGGAAATACTGTAGGAGCCAGAGGGGTTGCGGACACCAGGAGAACATGGCCCACAGAATCAACAAAGCCGGTTCATGGGGCCTGGCAGAGACTGAAACGGCTCTCTCAGAACATACATGAGTCTGCATTAGGACCTCTGCATGTATGTTATGGTTGCTTTTCTTGGGGTTTTTGTGGGACTCCTAACAATGGAAGCAGGTGTGTCTCTGACTCCGTTGTCTGCCCTTGGGACTTTTTCCTCCTGCTGGGTTGCGTTGGCCAGCCTTGATATGAGGGTTTGTTCCTAGTCTTATTGCATCTTGCTATGCCATATTAGATTGATATCCCCTGTGAGAACTGCTCTTCTCTGAAAAGATACTGGAGGAGGAGTGGATGTAGAGGAAATGGAAAGTAGATGGGGGAGCCGGGGGAATGCAGGAAGGGAAAACTCCTGTCAGGATGTATTATATGAGAGAAACATAAATTTAAAAAATGGAAAAGGGTGCTCGCTCTCTCCTTCTCTCTTTCTTGTCTCTCTTTCTCTCTCCCTCTCTCTCTGTCTCTGTCACTGTCTCTCTCTCGAGCTCCCTCTCCTCTCTCTCTTGTCTCTCTCTCTCCTCCCTCTCTCTCCCTCTCTCCCTCTCTCTCTCTGCCTCTGTTGCTCTCTCTGTCTCTCTCTCTCCTCTCTACTCTCTACTCTCTCACTCCCTCTCCTCTCTCTCTTGTCTCTCTCTCTCTCCATCTCTCTCTGTCTCTCTCTCCCTCTCTCTCTCTGTCTCTCTCTGTGTGTGTGTGTCTCTCTCTCTTTCTACTCTCTCCTTCTCTGCTCTTCTCTTCTCCCACCTACGCACGTTCTCTCTCTCTCTATGGCGACTGGCCATGGCGGTCAGCCATTAACCCTGTTTCTCTTCTTTCTTACTCTCTCTACTCTGCCAGGCCTATAATAAACTGGTTAATATGTCTAATAAAAATGGAAAAAAGTAAAATGAGTGCTGGGTTGGAGAGGGGAGGGGTCACAAGGTCTGCACTCCTAAGCTGAGGAGTTATTTACAGTTGATGGCTTCTGGGGAAGAGAGAATTTTCTCTAAGGGTGTGGCCTATGGTGGGTTGAACAAGCTCCAGCAGATGGCCCCATACTCTTGAGTATACAGGAAGCATGAATTATATTCATTGAATTATTAAGAAAAATAAAGGAGATGCAAAATCCGGGAGGAAGGGGTTGGTACAGAATTACAGGCAAAAATGGGGATGAATATGATCAAAACATATTACATGTATCTATGAAATTTTCAAAGAAATAACAAAAAATGTATTTATCATTATGCCCGTGTTTTAATGCATCCCTCTCCCCTACCTCATCTGAGCAGTTTCTGTTAGCAGTCGATAGAGATTAGCACGGAGACCCATAACTGCTCAAGGTGTAGAGAATACCAGCCTACAGAATGCTCAGCCTTAAAGCAAACATACCTACCATACATCTCCTCCTCCCAAGTCTCAGAGATCATTTAGGAAGAGGAGGGTGGGAAAAGCATAAAAGCCAGAGGCAGTAGATGGTTTTGGGGACTACGGTGTATCCTGAACACAGCAGGGCAGCTGCACATACGAATTCACAACGCTTGTGACAGCGTGCACAAGACCCGTGCAAGCCCAGGCCAGACAAATACCAGAATTGAATGGATATTTAGGCACATGCTCCCTACTTTAGCCTTGGAGCTAATGGTAACTGCCGGCTGCTGGCAGAGGGAAAGTCAGTTTTCTTTAAGAGAGTAGCCCCGGGAACTCGGTGTAGTGGAGCAAACTTTTATCTCAGCATTTGTGAGGCAGAGGAAGCTCTATGAGTGAGATCCAGCCTGGCCAACATAGCTCCAGTGCTATACTACACATGGCAATATTTGGGCAGCGCAAATTGGTCTTAAAGGGCTTCTTTTTTAATGGACACAAAGGAGCCGGGTGGTGGTGGTGCACACCTTTAATCCCAGCACTTGGGAGGCAGCAGAGGTAGGTGGGTCTCTGTGTGTTCAAGGCCAGCCCTGTGTACAAAGAGAGTTCCATGACAGCGAGGACTGTTACACAGAGAAAGCTTGTCTCAAGAAAACCAAAGTAAGTAAACTAAAAATGAAAATGGAAACAAAGTTGAGTGGGTCGGGAAGAAGGCGGGTCTTGAAAGAGTTGGGAGAGTCATTTAGGAAACTCAAAAAACTAATCCAAAAACGTTTTAAAAAGCAAATAATCTCTGAACAAGGGTGTTCAGTAACACTTATCATCTGTGATCTTAAAAAATAAAAGAAGGGCTTGGATTTATGGAATACTGTGATACTGCGCTTATTTAACATGCATTCAGCCCTTAGTTCAAACTCCAACACTGGGAAAAACAAATGTCCCCAGCTCATCTTCTCCTTCCAAACAGGCTCTTCCTAATTGATTTTTAAGGCTGAATTTGGCCACATGCCCCATCCCTGTTTCTAGCAACAAGTCTCCAAGGAGGAGATGGGTTGGAGAGACTCTCCTCCCAAGGTCTCCAGAATCTGCTTGGCATGAGTGGGGAATAGAACCCCCTTCCCCAAATCACCTGCCCCATGCCTCCATTTACCCCAGGACTCACCGAGGGCCAGCACCGTGGCAAGACAAAGTGACATGATTCGGGCTCCAGCAGCCTGACCAGGTCTGGAGCTGAAGCCCTGCACACCACACAGTAAGCAGGATGTGTGGACTGGAGCTAGTCGCAAGGTTTCTATATCAGTTTCCTCCCGTGAAGAGGAAGAGGTTTCTCCTCTGGGCTTCCACTCTTTCCCTTAGTCACTGACTCTTTGAGAAGGTATCAGATTCTGAGAATAACATCAGACCTCGGAGCTCAGGTGCAACCAAACTCATTGCTCAACACGTTTGTCTTGCTGTAAACATGTGAGACACAGAGGTATAAGATTTTACACATCAGTCCTTATTTTAGGAACAAATGACCATTGATCCTTGGGTAAGGTATTTCAACACCCAAAACCCCCATTTCATAATGTTTAAAATGAGAATCATCATAAAGTCTCCCCTCTCTGCTTCTCCTCTCTCTCTCACTCCCTCTCCTCTCTTTCTTGTCTCTCTCTCCCCTCCCTCTCTCTCCCTCTCCCTCTCCCTCTCTCTCTCTCTGTCTCTGTTGCTGATGTCTCTGTCTCTGATGTTACAATCTTTGTAAGAGCCCAAGCAGATATTTCACACATTAAATGTGTCCAGCTATGGACAATCACTTTTACTATTAAATAATATTGATGTGTGTGACTAGGAGTCAGAGGGCAACTTACTAAAGTTGATTCTTTCCCTCTACTACGTAGGCCCTAGGGATTGCACTCTGGTTTTTTAGGCTCGGAAGCAAACAGCTGTACCCACTGAGCCATCTCACTGACCCAGACCACATTTTTTAAGATTTATTTTTATTATGTGTGCATTGGCGTCTCACTTGTCTGTGTGGCTGTGTGAGGGCGTCAGATGCCATGGAACTGGAGTTGCAGACAGTTGTTAGCTGCCAGATGGATGTTGAGAACTGAACCTAGGTCCTCTAAGTAACTGTCAGTGCTCTTAACCACTGAGCCATCTCTCCAGCCATGGATGATATTTTTAAGAGATAACAGGAGTGGAGAAATTGGATCTTTTTCATACTGTTAACAGGAACCCAGAGCGAATTAGTCAGGATCATTTTGGGGGACCTGTGGCTCTCCTTCCATGCCACTAGTGGGGGTAAAATGTATAAATCAGAGGGAAGAGAGCCCTTCCTCTTTGGAAATAGCATGAAGATTGCACAAAATAAGAAATTAAAAATAGAACCTGTGTAACAGGATGAAATAAGTATGGAAGTGATATGTCAGCAGTCGTGTAACCATTGCAACACTCTTCACAAGGGCTATGGTGGAGAAATAATTCCAAAGCGCACATGAAAAAGCGTGGTGTATGTACACAGTGGAACTGAGAAGATAATAATGATGCCGAAGGAAAAACAGCATAAGGCTGGACCTTCCAGAAATGCCTTGACCCAATGAAACCAACAACCCCAGAAGGGCAGGCACTGCATTGTTCCCCTCACATGAAGTATGTTAAGTAGACATATTCAAGCTGGACATGCTGAGGCCTGCCTGAAATCCCTGAACTTGGGAGGATGAGGCAGGAGGATCACCGTGAGTACAAGGCCAGCTTGCACTACACAGTGAGTTCTGAGCCAGTCTATCTCAAAAAATGTAAAACGGATAAGAAGTCAAATTCATAAATAGAAAAGTTCGTGATGTTGTCTACCAGAAGGAAAAAAAAATGGGGAAATTATTTATCAACAGAGAGTATTTTTAGTCAATCCATAAGAATGACTCTAAGATAACTTGATATTGAACCGCACAGTGAAAATGTTAAGAAAACAGATTTCTCCCTTTTCTCTTTCTTAGCTAGGTTTTCTATTGCTGCAATAAAACACCACGAGCAAAAGCAACTTGAGGAGGCCAGGGTTTGCTTCATCTTAGACTTTCAGGAAACACTATCCCTGAGGGAAATCAGGGCAGGAACTCAAAGCAGGAGCCTGGCGGCAGGAACTGAAGCAGAGCCTGGGAAGGAAGGCCTCTTATTGGCTTGCTCAGTCTTCTTTCTTATACACTGCAGAGCCATCAGTCCAGGGGATGCACCTCCCGCTGTGGGCTAGGTCCACCCATATCCATCAATAATCAAGAAGATGACTCAGAACTTTACCCACAGGTCAGTCTGATGGGTGCTTTTTTCTTAATTGAGGTTTTCTCTTCTCAAATTACTGTGGCTTGTGTCAAGCTGACAAAACACTAGCCAGCTCTCTCTCTCCATCTCCCCCTCCCATTCCACCTTCCCTTTCCCTTCCCCCCTCTCTTTCTTTCTTTCTTCCTCTCCCTGTCCCCTCCCCCTCCCTCCCTCTCTATATTCTTGCAGTACCATTGAAACCATTTTGGGCCAGAGTGACATAAACAAAATTCTAAAGGAACTGAATAGACAAGAGACAGACCCAGGGTTTGAGGATGAATGGATACCCTTATGTCAAAGCCAGAAAAGGCAGTGCTTTGCCTGCCACGAGCAAAGGGAGAGGAGAAGCATCCTCTCGTGGCATCTCTAAGGTCTTCTGTTTCTGAAGACAGGCACGGTGACTCCTCAGTACCTTGCTCCCAGCAGACACTGGTGGTTCTTGACTAAACAGCTTGTGCTCAGTCCCCGTCCTAACAAAGACCTAGCTCTGTGTAAGTAGCTCTGTTCTGAGCCTCTGAACATGGACAGGGAGGAAACAAAATTTGAACTCAGACCATTTAAACAGTCCAACCTGTAGCCCACACAGGTCCTGACCTTGCCATGGTCCTTCCTAACCACCCAAGGAGCTGGGATGGTAAAGCTCGTGTTGCCAAGCCCAGTTTTCCCAAATCAGCTCAGATGACCAAATACGACCAAATGATACTCAACGTGAAATGTATTTTATGTATTGAGGTTTAGTGGAAATCAAGCCTTTCTTTAAAAAAAAGGGGGGGGGGAGGGTTGCAAGGAGGCTTTTGCCCTCCTTTACTTCTGTCAACTACATCACCAGGATGTGACTTACATACAGTCATTGTGGAACAGAATGAGCTAACGCTAAGCAAAACACTAACCAAACATGAGAGTCAGAGTCTCTAGGAAGTTGCTGAGTTGCTAAATCAAAACTTGAAATTTTCCATCTTTGTAATTCCTCCTACTCTCTCCTTCCCTTCCTCTCTCCTTCCGTACTCCATCTTTTCTTTCTTCAGTAGTAAGGGATAAATGTAGGATATCCCACATGCCAGGAAAGCACTCTACTATTGAGTCATAGCTCCAAAACCGTTTAAACTTTTTTCTTGTAACATATTTTTCCCTTTGTTTTATGTGCATGAGTGTTTTGGCGGCATGTATGAAAATTTTAAAAATGTATTATGAACCAACTCCTAATGACATAGATTACCAGATATCTCAAGCCTCATCAGAGAAATTGTTAGAGTTTATGGAATAGAACTAAATATATTATATTTTGTACTTTTATTCATGTATATATTCCTCTTTAAATTTCTCCTTCTTTTTAAGACATGGTGTTATATAGCTAGGCAAGCCTTTAATTCACTATATAGTCAAGGATGACCTTGAATTCCAGATGTGCTTGCTTTTACCTCCCAAGTTATGAAATGGCTGACATGTACCACAAGCTGTGTTGGGATTGTTTGTTTGTTTGTTTGTTTGTTTATACTCATGGAATCAAATTAGTGATGCCAAAATATTCTTAGATGAAAAGACATCCATTGGATCATGGCCAACCTACGATGGGTCACACCCTTAAAGTAAACTGGCTCTCCCTCTCATGGAAGCCATCAATTGCCAGTCAAACCTAAGCTACAAGTGGGACCTAAAGAGCTTTGCCCCATCCATACTGGACTTTTAACTGGCTTGATCTTGTACAGATCACCATAGTTCAGGACCTAATAGTCATGTCATGTCCAGCACTTCACAGGACCCCTCCCATCCTCTGGTCCTTACACTCTATCTACCCCTCTTCCATGATGGTTCCTGAGCCTTGGGGGCAGGGACAAGTTGATATTGGTGTCCCATCTATGGCTGAGCACTCTAAGGTGGTTATTCTCAGTACTTTTCTCAGTTATGAGTGTAAACATCAGCCACTACATGCTGCAATGAGAAGTTTCTTTGACCAAGTTTGAGATCAGCACAAATTATAAGGCCATAAACACAAATATTGAAAGGTGCTTTGAAAGCATGTTCGTTTAGCAAAACAACTGTAAGTTCCTCCGCTAGGTGCT